TTAAATAACATCATCTACATGCACAGACTGAAATTTAGTAATTTCACATATATATATATATATATATATATATATATATATATATAAACATATATGTGAGATAAAGCACTTGTGTTTGGTGTGTTTTATGTACTGTATGCACTGACACTTTGTATGATGCTGTGCCTGCTGACCACAGAGCAGCGAGCCAGTGAAGGAGCTGTTCACCCAGCTGACGGAGAAGCTGGAGGCCCAGAAGAAGAGCCCTCCTCCGCTGGAGGAAACCCCATCCCTGGACCTGGGGCTGCACCCGGTGACCGTCCCCACCACCGCCTCCACCCCGACTACACCTCTCTGAGGGCACAGCTGAAACAACAATCAGTGACTGACTGTAAATACAGCCACCAGTTGGCTCGTGAATTTTTAAAAAGACTGGACGTTTTACATTATTGATTGTTTTATGTTTATTGTTTCTTTAGATGTTTGTCTCTGAGAAGGTCTTCCAGCACTGACCGTGTAGTCCAGTGGCCAACAATTTTTCTTCAAGGGGGAGGGGAGGGGGCAACTTTTCTAAACTTTGTGCTCTTGCATTATTGTCCAAATATACAGTATTTTCATATGTAGTCGGGCTATCAGTGTGTTATATTAAACTGTCAGTAGAGCAACAAAGCTGTAAATAAACAATTATTTAGAAATACACAGTGGTGTTACTGTGTTCCAGGTAAAGTGAAAAGATGCAGTGCCAGATTTTGCAACACTTCAACACCTCTACAGATTGCATCACTTGATGAAACTGAAAATGTCTGATGTCTGTAGTTCTGTTTGGGTAACTCCCCTGGTAGCCACACAACACAAGTAGGCAGTGCAAGAGAAAAACAGGTAGTTTGTTTATCTGGGCTCAGCATACTGAAGACGACTTCAACACTGGTAAGATCTTCGATTATTTCTACATGAGCAACTAATGCCAATAGATGAGGCTTTGTATTGCTATTTTGCCTGGCATATTAAGTGAGTGTCTATGTGCACAGTATATACAGATACAAAATGTTTGCATACCTAAACACTGATCTTGATCATACTTGATGTACCGTTTCTGCAGTACATTTGAAAATGATGGGAAAACTCAGTTGGGGTTTCTTAAGTGTGAGGTCTATATTGGTATATATATACAGATTAAATACTAATACTGCATCTCTTTTATATTAATTCCTCAGTTTCTCATATAGATGATGTAAATGTCAACCAAAAAGAAACAGGAAAACCATACATATTGCAATTCAGATGCCTCAGAGTGGTAAATAAATGTGTCGAATCAACTCTGTAACAGCCTTGTTAAAGAAGACTGAACAATAGAAACATCACCAAGGCAGGATTTATTGCACTGCGCACACACATTATGTTTCACATACTGATTGTGTATGCTATCCATGGTCCTGAATGATCATTTTTATTTTAAACATGCTTCCTCGGCAGGTTTGAGGAGTAACAGTTTGTTGTCCGTGTAAGATAGTTTTTTGAATCAGGATACAAAAAAGGTCATTACTGTTATAGTCAGTAAAAATAATGTTCGTACAGTACACACATACATTACTAACACTTGACGGGTCTCACAACAGCACTCTGGTCTCGAATGGACCACACCTAATCACAGTCTGCGCCTCTGGTCAAGAAACTGGGTGGAAATTTCAGCATTACTAGCAGATACAGAAAAGGGAACAACACCACAGAACAGTGCGAGTTCTGCCTTCCAGCTATGAAAACGCTCTAAAGGCTACTGGCTGAATTTGCTTAAATACACTACAGAGGACATATTTTTGATGCTAAAAATCTTTTCTACAGTTACATTGTTCTGTTATCTTAAAGAATACCTAAAAATCATCTCATTGATATTTATTTTGCCATACCTGTATTTACAAATTTAACAGGTAATTAGTAATTGTTGGGGTCATTACATTTTTAAAGTAACCCTCCTGACTGTGCCCACTAGGCAGCTTCCCAGCTACTGTACACTGTGAAAGAGAAACAGCTGGTGTGTTACTGCACTCAAAGTTTTTACTGCCAGGACATGTATTACAACATACAAATATTCTGCTTGGAACAATAATGTGTGTCTGATATGTTTATTCCACAAAAAAAGTCTAATTTCCACATTAAAATCCTTCCATCTCCTCCTACCTCATTAAACCTTCCAGAATATCTGCATATGCAAATGTTGTTAATACAACAATAACAATAATAATAATTTATAATAATATTACAATAATTCTAAAGTTTTGCTGCTGGACACAAGATGTCTCATACTTCACTGTAAAGTCCATTCTCAGTGGATGTGCACTGGTGGCTTCAAGTTTCTACTGTGTTGTTTTTACAGTCTATACAAATATACAAATCATTGCCAAAAAGGCAGATTTGTTAGTATTTCCCTCATACATGTATTATTAGTTTGCCTGATCTAAACCCCCTCTGTGTAATTATTGTGGTGTAGATTGATGGATAAAGTCTGGTATATATGGGCTAACATGAGACCCCCCCCCCCCATCATTTTTAACAGTTAAGATGCAAAAAACTATTATTAAAAACCCTTAGAACATAATTGTTTTCGAATTTTGGTGGAACCTACAGCAGCAAACCAGCACCAAACAGTGACAAGAAAAACAACCCCAGGATATATGATATATTTGTTTTTTCTGTGAATGGGCCTTCATTTTTACAGCGCCACGTAAACAGCGGAAGCTGCCCTTCGATTGTGATTGACAGGGTGTCCATGACACGCCCGCCCCTATTTGGTCAAATTAACTTAGCCACAAGGCTGACCTTCGACCAATCACAGCGCAGTACGCTACCAGTACATCAGAGAATGTCTAATAAGATACATACTCAGCTAAAAGTGAGGCTAGTTCGTAGTATGGCGGGCGTGTAGCCTGAACATGAACGAGGGTGGATTAGTTTACTTTCTAAATCAGTGTTCTTTAAAGTCTTGGAGGAAACAAATTGGAAGTACCAGAGACCTGGAGACACATCCCATCCCAAATGATTTCAAATAACGCAAAAGGACACAATGAGCCCGCCCTGCGGGGGTCCGACGAATCTCCCACTTCAACTCCCAGCGGCGACCAGTTCTCCTTTATTTAGCAGTCAATCAGCCGATCAGCTGTCGAAACTCGACAGGTTGTAAAGTACCACCGTCGAAGACGCACAGATTCTCTCCCAATACGAGACACGGCCCCAGAGAATGTTTCAATGCTTCATAAATGAACTGCCTGACCACAGACGACCAATCAGCCACATCTAAATGCTGACACAGCTGCAGCCGCTGTAAGGCCGCACAGGATGTGGCGCTCTGATAATGTGTCAGTGGCCTTGCAGTGCCTGTCCAGCATAATGAGTCGAGCAGGATCCAGAAGGCTCTAACCAAGGTATTGAGCTATGAGGAAGCCAGGTACAAATAAACAAAAACAATTTGCAAAAATTGTGCACATAAATACACAAAAAACATGAAAAACAGACAGAGAAACATGGTGGAAAGTGAGGGAGCAGCCAAGTGAGTTTTGACATGAAAAAAAGCGTTTTAAATATAATGGTAAACACAAAAGTCTGAACAACCAACTCTCTTTTAACATAATTTTTTTGCTCCTTGGTTTTAAAAAGAATTTTTATTTTTGGTACTGTGCTTGCAAATTGTTGCTGGTACTAATACTGTATGAAGTGTAAGGGCAATTGGCTGTGCTGGATGTTACAGAGGAGAGAGAGAGAGAAAATTTTTTTTGGAATCAAGGTAATTCATTCATTTGTGTATGTCTCCCCAGTCTTGCCATAGAGCCTTGCTTAACAAATGTATACAATGTTGTTGCTGTACCTTGGATGTGCTTGCTGCTGTTGCTGCTGTGTGATGTTATTGATGAGTGGTAATGCATTTGTTAGGACCACCACGCCAAAATCCACCACCAGCCGTCACTGCCCATGGGTGCTAAGTTAAAGGAAAATAAGATGAATAAATAGGTGGAGAAACAGATGCAGATGCTAAGATACAGATCACAAGTGCTCACTGAAAGCTTTTAATAAGTATATAAATGGTGTGTGTAATAAGCTGTGGCCCTCACAGTCATTAGATCTCAACCCAACACTTATTGAAGGTAATAATGTAATAATAAAACCAATAATATAGATTAAAGACAATAAAAAAATACATAAGAGGGAGAAAACATTTTAAAATATTAAATAGAGTCATAAAAAAAAATACTAATTTGTATGATGAATTTTTAAGTCTGGTGGCACTGGAGGCTTGTAGTGGAACAACACCTTACATAGACACTTAACACTTATGCTGTACGTATATGTCTAACAAAACTGTTGCAACTTAGTGGTTAGAATGATTCCTTTGAATGGTCAACATGAAGTGTTCACTGACTTTTGCAAAGTACTTTACTTAGTGAAATGTTTTAAGGTTGATTGGGTTGCCGTATAGTCGACCACACAAGTTTGAAAATGTCAATTCACCTCATTGTGGGGAAGTGAAATGTAATGTGTTCTGTGTATATTTATAGACATAAACACCAATGATGCATCTCAGAAGAGGAAGTGAGTTTGTCTCCTTGAAGAGATCACCAATACACATCTAGCAGTAGATCAAATAAATACAGAATAAGGGGAAATCTTTTGGTAGAATGCTGTTCATCCCTCCTGTAGAGTTCTACACACTTGGAGAATCTATGAACTACAATAAGTCAATAAACTAAATTTGTATGGCACTTTTCATGCAGGTTAGAGCCATTCAGTGACAGTAAAGCAATATGGGACTAAACAAAATATGTAATAATAAAACTAATAAAACATGTAGATCAAAGACAGGGAAGTGAAAAGTAAATGGGTGTTATGTATGTATTTATAGACATGGGTCCAAATAATGCACCTTAGAACAGGAAGTGATTTTGTCATCTTGAAAAAAACCAATGGCAATCGCATCTACCAAGTGGACAAAGTAAGACGAATACTGTACAATATAACGTGCCGCAAACAATGCAAAAAGGTCAACATAGTTGAGTTTGCAGCTCTTCCCAAAGTCCAATTTATTGTATTGTGCTTAAGTACTAAAACAATTTTTTATTGCAAACCCCCTAAACTGAATAAAAACTAGAATCAGATCAAATCAGGGATGGTGGTGCAGTAAAAGTACCTTTTGAACTTATGTTTGAAAGAAGTCACTGACTCAGCGTGCTGTATTTCTTCAGGCAGGGTGTTCCAGAGCCTCTGGCTCTAACTCTGTCTGCCATAGTCTTCAGCAGAAAGTCTGACACAGATAAAAGGCCCCTGCCCAGAGTAAATCTAGATGGGTCGCATTGGGTGTCAGCTGCCTCCCCAGTTTGCTGTAAAAATGGTGTCAAATTGAACACATTAATTTAAAAATCAAAGAGAGATGAATTTACAAATCTGTTATGGACATATTTTAGTCTAAGTGATAGGCTTCAGTTCAATGAAAACAGATATTTTTTTGTATTTAGAAAAATGTCTAAAGATTTGGAAATAATTGGATTTTTTAAAATTTGACTTCTATTTAATGCTTCACTAATGTGCCACAATAATGTAATGTTTTTTTAGTTCCAATGTCTTTTGAGGGCTTTTTCAAGTAAATATTGATATATGTGATTGTTTGTGTTTAAATCAGCAAATATTTCTGACACCCCTTAAAGTCTCCATGCCACCCTCTGGCCATTTTTCTAGAGCAGCCCCCGCAACTGCCAGAGGATCTGTGCAGTGCAGGCAGGGTTGTACAGGGATAGATCTGCTACTCTGAAGAGTCAGACCATCTAGTGCCTTGTAAGTAACTAAAAGCACCTTAAAATCAATTCTAAAATGTACAGGATGTCAGTGTAAAGAGGCTAAAGCTGGGTGATGTGTTCAAACTTCTGTAGCTGTTCTCTGCAGTTTCTCTATTTGACATGTACAAAGGCTGTTACAGTAGGTGTGATTAAAGCACGTAAGATAGTTTCTGTATCTTTAAAACTTAAGATAGGTCTAATTCAGGCAATGTTCCTTAGTTAATGCAAAGCATGTTTGTAAAGCTTAAATTATTGTCAAAGAACACGCCAAGATTTCTAGCAACAGGATTATTCAGACAAATAACCAGTAGGGGGTGGTATTTGAATGTTTGTGTTTTCCAATAAGAAGAATCTCTATTTAGGTTGAGTCTAACTAAACAAAATTCTTAGACATCCAGTTTCTTACATCTATGAGGCAGTCCTGTAAAGAACTGAGCATACTGACGTCAGTGGGCTTATCGGGGACATACAAATGATAGTCATCAGCATAACAGTGAAAGGAAACATCATGTCTCTGAATAATACTACCTAATAGCAACATATAAAAAAATTGGTCCCAAAGTTGACACTTGGGGCACTCCATACTCAACAACAGCAAATAAGACTTTATGGTTGTTAATGAACAGAATTTTCTGTCTGAAAGATAAAACATGTACAATTGGAGCATGCTAACATACTGATGATCCTGGTCCGGGTGCCACTGGAGGACAGGTAGGAAACAACAGAGTACAAATAGTTTGTTGGTGTACTTCAGTATTTTTTTAAGGTATCTGTACTTTACATGACAATTTTTTACTTTTACTCCCTACATTTTAGACAAATAGATGTACTTTGCAGTCCTTACATTTTCAAATTAGTTTAGTTATTTAGTTTGGTTTTAATGCATTTTAAGGGAATTATTGATTATTTTTAGTTTTTGCATTATTGCACACTCAAGACCAGTGCATCCTTCAGAGAAACCAAGACAGTACTTTTTACTTTTATACTTTTCAGAGCCTGTTATATGAGTAAAGAAGTTGACTTGTACTTGTACTTTTAGTCTCTTTTTACACACATATCTGTATATCTGTATATCTGCTTGAGTACATAATGTGTGTACTTTTGGAAAATGGAAAGCATTCATCTTTGGAGGAAAGGTTCAAGTTATTTCCAGATCATTAGGATGAATGTAGACAAGAATATCCACAGCAGATTTCAAGGAGCCTCTGACCATTAGCTTTCAAAATACCTAAAAGAAAGTGTGGCCTAATAATCACATATTTATTTCAGTTTCACTTCCTTCATTTGAAAGGATTCATCACTGAAAATGTCAGAGACATACTATAGTTTGGCAAATTTACTTATGTTTATATATAACTAATTCTAATGAGAGTATAACATTCCTATACATCTTAGGGAATGTGCAATTGCCTTTGATGCTGTTCCATCAAGTGTCATCTGCTGTAATCTACAATCTAAGACTTCATCAATCTACACCACAATAATTACACAGAGAGGGTTTAGATCCTTTTCAGGCAAACTAATAATACATGTATGAGAGAAATACTCGAGTTACTTGAGTTATGTGATACTGAAGTTCTTTTCCCACAGGTGTGAGAAACAATAAGATCTTTGAGATGATGAAGCCTCTGGTGGATTCCTCACAGCTTGGGAACAGCAGCAATGAGTCTGGATCTTGCATGGGGGAGACCCAGAACGTGTCCATCACCACTCTCATGTGCCTGGTCTTCTTCGTGGGCTTCATCCTCAACACCTTCAGCCTTTGGGTGTTCTGGTGCCGGTTGCCCAGCTGGACCTCTGGAACCATCCTGCAGTTCCACCTGGCACTCAGTGACGCCATCGCCACCCCAGTCACTCCCATGATGGCGGTGTACTTCGCCATGGGCAACAACTGGCCCTTCGGTCGATTCTTGTGCCAGGTCAAGATCTCCCTGCTCAGTTCACATTTCTATGGCAGCACCATTTTCCTTACTCTCATCAGCATCCATCGGTACACAGCTGTGGTGCAGTACAACAGAAGCTCCTGCATGAAGCAGAAGGAGTTTGTCAGGAAGCTGTGTGCAGGGGTTTGGTCCCTGCTACTGATCCAGGCTCTGATCTACGCTTTCATGCTTCCTCCAAGTAAAGAGGGCAGTCACAGTCAATGCCTCACCATCCATCAGAGCAACCTGACAGATGTCTACTTCATCATTAACTTCATCCTGTTCATCTTTGGCTTTCTCCTCCCTTTCCTTGTGTCAGCTGTTTGCTATGGTCGCTTGGCGAGCACCTTAACTCGCCTCAACATCAGCACAGCGAAAGGCTTGAGAGTCAAGGTGAAGTCTCAGAGGATGATAGGCGTGTGTCTGGTGATATTTGCATTGTGCTTTCTGCCTCTGAACGTTATACGAACCGTGGGAGTGGTACTAAAAAAATTCTACCCGCAACAGTGCCGTGCTCTTCTGCAGATCGAGACGGCGTATTATGCATCCTGGATTTTAGCGGGAGTGAACAGCTGCCTGGATCCACTGTTGTACTGTTTTGGGTCACAAAACTTTCGTGATGCATTCGGATCTTTCAGGATTGGGCAGGGAGACGTTCCGAACAGAAGTGATTCAGAAATGACTGCAAATCAGTAACATGGAGTCATGCACAACAACTGAGTGGGACTGACATTGGAGGCCCAGGATTTAATGTTTGTGGAAAGTTTATATTAGTGAACTCTCTATTGAAATCCATACAATCTAAATTCTTGGTCAGCTGACAGTACAAGCCCTGTAAAGAAGATTTCCCTGCAGATCTCTTATTTATATGTTTTTTTTTTCTTCAAATTTTACAATAACATTTTAGAGACACATCTATACATATATGTATCTATATTCTGGACAGGTAATTCCTTTTAATACTTTAGTCGCAGTGTCACCTTTTTGAACGCATGCTCATTCCGTGGTAAAGTTTGCAATAATAAATATGTAATGTCTGGTTATACTTTCAAAATAAAGCTTTCTGAGAAAAAAGACTACTTGGTTAGGTTCAGGAAATTATCCTGCCTAACAAGTCATCATTGACTTTTGGTTCTCCTGAGTGAAAGTCCTGTGTTGTGTTTGTTTGATCCATCCATCCATCCATATATCCACACCTCCCTCCAAATGCAGTTTTGTCAGTCTTTATACTGCTGCTGGTACAGCACCTTTATACACGTGTACTTTTCACATCTAGGCAAGGCAAAACGTGACAATAACACAGTATCCTCTAGTCGATCAGTGAGTCTAGTTTGACTTTTTGGCAAATTTGACTTTGTTGCTGAGAATTATATGAAAATATTGTAGCCCCTCTCGTAAATGTGAAGCTACAGTTAGCAGCCTAAAGTGTGTCACAAAGACTGGAAACAGCCTTGTCCTGGACAAAAGTTAAATCCACTTACTAGCACCTCTAAAGCTAACTAATTAACATGGTATATCTATGAAAAGAGAAGAATAAAAAACCTTTTCCTGGTGGTTTTATGCAGAACTGTTTCTCATATTCAGCTAACCAGCTGCTTGTTGTACAGACTTGAGAGTGTCTCATTTCTCTCTCAACAAGAAAGCAAATCGGCTGCAGAATCTTTGGGATATTGTACAATTAAAAAATAGGTGAGAAATTGTTTTTTTACACTACAAAAGGTACAAGAAATATCAATGCCTGACAACACAATTAGAAGGGTATATTTTGTGTAATATTTTGAAGTGTACTTCCTCAGCCTTATAAGGTAAAAGCAAGTTTATGTCCTTAATTAAAGTTCTCCAGAAAGGTTTGGCGGACATGCTTATTGTTCACTTTACATGTTGTTAGTTAGCTGTGTTAGTCTAATTACATCCAATATCAATAATAAGGCTGTGTTATATTATTCTCAACATAACATGAGTACTTTATTGAAACAAATATACCACAAGTTTAAACATTCTGTGTATACAGCTTGAGTGTAATCACATATAAGCCTAAGTGTAAGGGGACTAAGCTAATTAAAAATAAAACATACATTTAAAAAAGCTTACATTGGTTTGTATGTATTAACAGCTTGTTTGTACATTCAGATATAGAAAAACTATAGTTGGTATGGACATTGAGTTCTATAGTTTGTATGCTTAAAATTTGGATTTGTGAATATATGATTCGGTTAATAATAAGCAAATCAATCGACAGAACTGTGAACAGAGATTCCTGTCATATTCCATAAATCCAAACAATACATTTCCCAAAGTAACATAACATGAGGATATGTGATCGGCAATGACTCAAGACAATTTACTCCACAGTTGTTTTGTATGTGGGCAAAACCAAATGAAATGTACCAGTGCCTCTCTAAGGTCTCCACAAAAGGTATAACTTCCATCAATGTCTTTCTTGAGTTTCTGCGTACAATGATTTGTTGGATAAAACCTGTAAGCAATTTGAAGGAAAACTTTTTCCCAACAAATATCTCCATCAAAAGAGGACCAATGTGATAAGGCAAATGAATAAATAAATAAATAAACACGCCAGGGGTCAACATAAATAAATAGAAAGTGACTTACATGAAAGCACTGAATTGGGAGAACAGTCTCATCGTTTTAAAAGCTTTTTTTGGTGTTTGTTTATCTATTTATTTATTTTAAGTTATTGTCTTAATATTTATGGAAAGCCAATATAAAGTCAATATATAAAAAGTTTGTCATTATTTTGAGATGGACAGTATGGGACTCACAGGAGGCACAGCTTACATCAACATCACATCATCATAAACCCTGATCATCTTTCTCATCTGGAAGAGGGCGGTGACGTCCGCAAATGGGGCGGGGACTGAGAGTCGTAAACGTGCGTGCTGCCGCCGATACGCACAGGTGATCCGCAGTCTCGCCGTGGATCGGTGGAAACATGGGGAAACTTCAGGAGTTCGAGATCACGTTCGACAAAAACAAAGTGGTGTACAGTCCGGGAGAGTCTATCACCGGAACCTTGGCCATTAAACTGGGCCAGGCGCTGCAGTGCAAAGGTAAGAGCCCGCTAATACTGCGGGTATTTCGCCTACATTTGCGCACCTGTTGGGGAAAACGTCGCCGTCGCTCAACAAGGAAGTAAGATGTTCAGCAAAGATTAGTGTAAGTGTAATGTAGGCCTCTCACACTGTGGCTGAACTGTGGAAACAGTGTGATAATGTTATGTATGGCTCTGTGTGCGGTAGTAATGGGACTTGAATGGTCATTTCATACAGCAGCTCTACGGTATGATGTTCCTGTAATATTACTACAGACTCTAGGTTTCCGTAAGAGATCATAATTGAACCTAATTGGACATTGGGTGTGGTTTTCTCTTGTGTTATAACATAAACTTAGTGACAGGGCCGTAACTAGGATTTTTGAAATATGAACTCCCTCTCCCACATAAATATTTGACTTCACACCAAAAATAGACTGACGTTGTTGTCTCAATATTCTATGTATTCAGTGAAGCGTTAAGTTCCATATTCTGTGAATGTTGTTTTCCATCATAAGGGCCTATTTCCTGTGAAAACCACACCTCTACAGAACCTTCCATGAACTCAGAGAATCAGGTTTCCAGCTTTTGGACATTGCATTCCTCAGATAAATTATTAGAAATTTAAAATCTAATTCTTAAGTTTCCAAATTAAAACTATGTGGTTTTCATTGGGAAATTCTAGTGGGGAAATAATGGAACTTAAAACAATAAAATAGTTCAAACTTGTTTGAGTAACAGCTACTGGAATCAGTCTATAAAATATCCCGCAACACGGAGCGTAAAACCCAGCAGTTCTGAAAATCCCCTCACAATCCCAGAAAAAAAATCTAAACATGACCTCAGTTTCCTCAACAGTAGTTTCAGCCCTGCCTGAAGCCATCCACTGTATATTACTGTCTGACATGTAGCAGCTACTGTATGACTTTATCAGGGTTCTGTGGTCTGTTAGTGTGCAGTCTGAGGTCTCCAGGCTGTTGGGTGTCTACAGTGTGATGCTCTTTGTAAGGGTCCAGAAAGACGTTGGAGGACTGGTCTCATTGTGTCATGTTAGAGATCTTGGATCAGATAGCCGACAGGTGTTTACTGCAGTTCCTGCTGAGACAAAACAACTTCACTTTATCAACTCATCTGTTGATGGTAATCCACTTGTTACCAGTGTTGGGCTAGTTATACATCCAGTTTTATCCAAAATCGAAAGAGTATTGATTTCCTGTAATGTAAGACAAGGAAAAACAGCACATACTCACATTTGAAAATCTCGAACTATCAAATGTGTTCACACATTTGCTTGAAAAATGACTTAAACAGTAGTTTAGAGAATAGTTGTGGATTCAGTTTTTGTTAATCAACTAATTGATTTATCAACTAATAGTTGCTGCTTGAAGAAGTGCTTGAATAGCTCATTAACTGATTAGTCATCCAACAGAAAATGAATCGACAACATGAATTATTTAAACCATTTATGAAGCAAAAATGCCAAACCTTTTCTGGTTCCGGCTTCCCTATTGAAGCAAAGACGGACCGTAATAGTTTGTATAATCTAATTGTAACATTAAACCACTACTGAATCTCAATGTTGACATTTACATACAACTAATGAATAGCAGGGAAATATTTTACCATCTGTCTGAATCTCTGGTTTTGTGGTTTTCAGGTTCATAAGTTCAGAACTAGAATTCAGCTGCTCATCTGAACTCGACAGAATGATTGTTTGTCCTTGGCAGCCTGAATGTTGCTGAATGTTGTTTCATGGAAAAAGGAGATGACTGGTTGCTCTGTATACTCAACCGTAAATCAGTGTGTTGGTGCTCTTGGGAGTCAAAAAAATATTAACAAGGAAGGAAATAGAAAATTAAAGCTGTTATTGCAGTGGTGTCCATTGACTGGATGCGTTAAAGTATCCTGGTAGCCAAGAATTTCTGTCTGTATGGGCTTCCTCATTTTCTGTGTTATCTCACCTCATTTTGTTTAGTTTTTTAGTGTTATGTTATTATCTGGGTCATGTGACTGCCTTCCATTGGTTGTTGCTGTCATAGGGGAGGCCACACCTGTATTGTTTGTGGTCTAAAGCCCTGACGAAGACCTATAGTGGTCAAAACATGTTGGCTTTTTTATGATTGAGCCACTACAATAAAGGCTTTTTAGTATTCCATTTCCTTCGTCATTTTTTGCTGGTAATGTTAATGCTAAGAGCTGAATCCTTAAAGAATTCCGTATTAGTGGCAGAATGAACCAGATTATTGCAGATCAGAGTTTTTCATCTTGAATTTTGGTGTCTGAATTTCACCAATCCAGTTTTGGAGATATATTGGAGACACTTTGTGAAAGCTACTGTACAATGTGCAATAAAAAAAATCATACAGATGAAAATGAAGAAGCTGTAAAATGCTCTAAAATATTCAGTGATATTTCAATTTAGTTTCAGTTGTGGTTAAATTTCACAATCATGTGTTCAAGTGTTTATAAGACACCAACCATTACGGCTTTTCTTTGCTTTTGCCATACTTCTGTATGTGTGGACTTGCTGTTTTTCTCTGCAAATATAATTGTAAATAAAATATCTTTCATTTATCCTTTAATTGAAAACAGAAAGGTTAATGAGTAATAAATTAATTGTTTGTTGCAACCCCTAAACTGGATGATACCCATGACCTATGAATACAAACATAAACTGGAAAAAGGAGCAAATGGCACTTCCATTTCAGAGCAACAGCTCATCTAAATGTTCTGCTTTTGAAACTGGAGATCTCAAAAGCTTTGCTGTGACAAAGTGTCAGATGATAATTGACGCACTTGGATGTGGACTTGCTGAGAGAAGCTTTTATGTGTTTGGGAGTTTCTGTTTGAATGCTTGCGGGGCCTCCAGTCTGTTTACATTCCTCTTCAGGTAGAGCTGGTCGGACCGCAGGCTTCACTGCGCCACCTCCCAGGAAACTCTCACCTGCAACAGTTTGAATCACAGATGGATTATGAAGTGGGTTGGGCACTGAGATAAGAGACACATTACTACACAAATATTGACATTGCGTTAGAAATCAAATGCGTTTCAGTCACTGTGGTTCAGCTTTAAGATGATGGATATGATGGCGTTACTAGAGGACTCCAAAGGCAAGAAGGTAGCACCGAAACCAGGACAAAGTTGACCAATGTCAGTTTGACCTATTTATTCTGGCCATGGCAAACAAACATGCTAATGTTTTAGCACCTTGGCTAAAATGTTAGCACGTTTGTCAACTTGGAAATTTGATCGTGTGTCTTTTTGCCTTTGGACCATATGAGCTGTAACTGTTAATACAGGACTGTTTCAGGGATGCAGAATAGAAGAACTGAAGAAAATAAATCTGCTTTTATACTGTTTAGTTTTTAGACTGATGAATAGTTGCATTTTATTGCATCTGGGTCTGTCTTTCCTGGTCTGGGCCCATGATTTCCAGTGAACCTGCACAGAGCCCTGACCTCAACCCCAACCAACATCAGTCCTCACTAATGCTGATGTGCCTGAATGTGAGCAAATGCCTGCAGCCAGGTTCCAACATATGGTGGAAGCCTGGAAGGCTGGTGGAGGCCGGCGTGTGGTGTAATGTTCAGCTCTTTACATACCTTTTAATCATGTAGAGTAAAGCTGTTTTTGGCAGATATCATTGACTGTTGGTATCCTCAACAAAACAAAATAGCAATCTTAAAAACTCATGACTTCTCACATTTATCTTTATTCTGCTAATGCTCATTTTTACCCCAATACAAAAATGAAATTCATTTGATTCCAAAACGAACTTGCTGTACACTTCTCAATGAACAGTAGTAGTCTGTAGTTAACCTATTACATTGCTCATTTGCTCATAACCATTGAAAACTGAACAGAGGACCCTCTTTATGTAGCCTATTGAACATGACAAACTCATAATAGCCCCAGAAATCTGAGGGAAATGCTAGTGCTGTTTTAATGTCAGAAAAAGGGTGTTAAAGTAAATTATTACAATCAATATTTCGGGGCGCCCTGGTAGCTTACTATGTAGAGTGCTGCCCAGGTTTGATTCCCCTTTGCTTCTCCTTTACTGCATCTCTCTCTCTCTCTGATTAATTCTTTTTCATAATCTGAGCCCACTGGGCAGGGTGACACTGTGCAGGAAGTCAGTCAATGCAGGTAACCTGTTATCCTAGAGCCATTTTGCATATTAACAATACAATACAATAGACCTTTTCTACAGCAGCCATTGTGACCATTCAGGTCAAACAGAGTCAGTGCTGCTATTGTGCATGTTGGCTCTGCTACCCTGAATGGAATCTTAATTAGTATCATTAGTAAAACCTGTGATTACCCTACTGTTACATGTCAAAATGGCTGCTGTGAAAAAGGTCTATAGGTGTTAGCTTTTTAAGTTTCAGTTTGGGCCTGAGTCACACAGACTTTCTTCAGTCACAGAACTGCAAGAGTGCTCGGTTTCATACCACTTCTCTCTGTCTCTGCGCCTCAGTGTAATACACTCGTTGATCTTATTTGATTCTGCCTGTAGAGAAAATGACATTAATGACTCTCCCTAATGACATTATTTGCTCATGAGAAGTGTTTCATGCTGCAGTTGCTTAGTAATGTCTCTGTGGCTGAAACCTCCAATGTCTGTGTGTTCTTATCTGCAGCCATCAAAGTGAACTGCAACGGTTTCTGTGGCATCACCAGCAAGGTAAATGATACGGCGTGGACAGTGGAGGAACAGTACTTCAACAGCACCGTCTCCGTTGCAGATAAAGGTACGCCGCCGAACAGTTGAAGCGCTCATTACAAACCTCATTTTTTAGTTTGATCCACCCCGCAGTTAGCATCAGTAGCTGCAGTTACCAGCCGCAGATTAAAGACCTCACCTGGCTTTAAATACTTGCTTGTGAGTTGGTTTACGACAGGAAATGTTACCACACACAAAGTGAAAAACGAGCCACACATTCAAAAATCTTTTTGCAACAATAAAACAATATATTCTTTTATTTTTACATTGTGGAAAATAAAACTAGTGTGGTTAAAATAACTGAGGTGTAAAGACTGTGGGAGTGAAGGTTCCCACACTGCATGCAGCCCTGAGGCATATGTGCCCTGGTGGGAAACAGCAGGGCGATTGTTACTGTTTCCACTGATGGATGTTATCTGTGCTCTCTGTGTCCCGCACAGGAACCCTGAAACAGGGAGAACACACTTTTCCCTTCAAGTTCCTCATTCCAGGTAGGAGCGTGGAGTGATGGGATGAACACTTGTCACTACACATTCTTTCCTATGTTTATGTCTGTGTGTGTGTTTTGCCCTTGCTTTTCACAGCCTGACAGACATGTCCCGGCATGTTTATATTTACCCTAATTCTGTTATGGTTCAGCAGCAGTGAGGATGGGACTCTTATCCCATCATTCACTGGGGCTCATGAGTGTTGGGTGAAACACTGCACTGATTTCCAGTATTTGTTCGAACCAGCACAACTATTATACCAAGGTAGTGTTTTTGACAGTTTTGATGAACATTTAAATTGCGACACTTTAAAGGAGTGTGTAGGATTTAGTGGCATCTAGCGGTGAAGTAATGTATGATGTAATGTTTTAACATTACGTCAACTAAAATGTGCGTTATACGTTACGTCCTGACCTGGCGTCTCGTCCTCTACGTTTTGCTGAACTTCAGTAGGTTAGCTGTGGACAAATCACATTGCAAGACACCAGTATATTACCACAAGCTTCTTTTCTGCATTATGTACTGGGGGAAAAAAGTTCTGTTGGAACAAATCATACCAATGCTGATATGTCTGTGATAGGCCAATATCAGCTAATAATATCGGCTAATTGGTACATCAGTCAGGGTTGATGCAGTGCATTTGACACGATTTTATTCAACACAGTGTGATTCAATGCAAAATAATGCAATTCACTACAGATAGTTTGATTTTATTTCTTTGTTTTTTCTTGAGCAGCTTGAGAAACCGCTTAGACAGGAGGAATCAATCTGAATATACAGTTAAGGTCACATTTATCAGCAATAAAGGCAAAAGGCTTCTACTAATGATTTTACTGATGCATAGATGTTAGAAACCGTGCATCCCAAGTTCAGACCAAATTGTATCCAATTTACACTTTTTAAATCGTTACAGTTGCATCTCGAACTTTTATGCCGGTGTACTGAAGTGAATTGGTGAATCTTACCATCCCTAATATACTCACATATATAGATATGTGTTTTCTTTATTATTTAGAATTGTTCTCTTTTTTTTCTAGTCATTCCTTTATGAATTGCTTAACTGGGGATATCATCAAACGGAGTTTTCTCTCTGACAGAGAGCTGGTGTATGTGACTTTTGAGATGCCTGTTGTAGAGCATTTGAATACAAGAAGACATGAGTGTGTCTCTTACAGTATGAGATTTCCATCCCATTGTAGTCACCGTGTCACTCACATGATGTCAACAGCTGTCAGATTGTTCCACTTACTCATTACTGTGAGCACTCCCTCATGACATCAGCACATTTTTTATTGACTCTTAGACAACAATAAGGAAATTATTCTCAGATACTAGAGATATTAGATTATGAAATATTACCTTTGTATTTAAAAGAGTAGGCTTAAAATCATCACAAAACTGATATCTGTTATCTCCAGATAATGAGACAGAAAACATGTTGGTGTCTTAGGGTAATGAGATTAATAACTTGTGATGTCCAAATAATGACCTTAAACCTTGAGACGCTTTAAGTTTTAACTTTTATTTTGGTAGGCATTTTTGGCACAGTCATGAATCTTGGAGAGCTGTACAGCTTGTACAAATTGTTGCCATGGTTAATTCTCACGCAGGAAAGAACACAGCCAGGCCTTGTGTTTATCTTTTGTTAGGCCACTTAACCTGCTGGATTTTTCCAGGTAAAGCCTTCTCCGCAGTGAGGAACATCACAGAAACTCAAAAGCAACCCAACCGGTATTTTTACTGATCTATCACCTGAAACGCGTGTGTGTTTTCACCGCTAGAGTGCCTGCAGGTGTATCAGTACACTCTCTGGAGTCTTGTTTTCATGTTTACACAAGAATTTAGGAAAAGAACTGCTCATGTATCAGGTTTTTAAAGGTTATGGAACAAAAAGACAATAATGACAAGCTGTTATACTGTATTTGCTATTGTGTGATAAAACTAATACATATTTGACTTCTTTCCCACAGAATCTGCTCCTACCTCTTTTGAAGGCAACTATGGCAGGATCATTTACAGAGTGAGGGCTTTTATTGACACGCCGCGGTTTGCCAAGGACTACAACACAGAGAAAGCATTCTACCTGCTAAGACTTCTAAACCTGAATGAAGTGCCAGACATATGGGTGAGACATGATTAGACGTGTGTGTATGGTGTATCTTTGTCAGAGCAGGGCACGAGGCTGATGTTGGTCTGCAGAGTTAAAAAAAAATTAAATCTCTAAACAAAGATGTAAAATCTACAGTTTGTTGTTTTAGGGGTATTTTTCCTAATAATAGATAATACAGCTGCAACAATTAGTCACTCAATCGATTACTTGTTGACTATAAAATAAATTGCCAACTATTTTGATAATTGATTGTGTCTTTTTTTTTTAAATGAAAAATATCCAAATTCTCTGATTTCAGCCTCTCAAATGTGTTAGTCCTCTACGACGGTATGCTATATGAAGTAACAAATGTAGAGGTTATAATATAAACAATAATCATTGATACAAAATACGTGAAATTCTTTGTTTAAAAGGTACACTCCATAAATGTATTATAGCACCCTACAACAGCCTGTCTGATCATTGTCAGAGTTCTAAACTGAATATCTTAAACCTGTAATGACACAGCACCATGTAACTCCCCCTAAAACCACTAATTGTTGTTTTTACTTCTTTATTTGTGTGCTGATTAAACAAATGAAATTAGTGAGCATATTCACTTTGGATTGAGTCAGCTCTGTCCTTAATCGAGGAAATGAGAGTGATATGTCTCTTGTCATCGACCTTGCAATCTATGGGAAAGGAAACAAATAAGTGTATCAGATTGTTGAACTATGTGTGTCAGTCTTGATAAATCTGTGATGTTGTAATCCCCCCCCACACACACACACACATTCCATGCAGGGATCCTGTTCATCTGCAGTGACCCAGCAGTTCTCCTACATGCTAGTGAAAACAGGCACAGTGGTCATGAAGGCCCACACTGACATGAAGGGTTACACACCAGGCCAGATCATCCAGGTGATGACCAACATTCACAACGAGTCTGGCAAGAACACGGGCAACATGGCGGCCAGCCTGATGCAGGTACACTCTTTTTACAGCTTAGACCAAACCTGCAAGGAACCAAAATGTAACTTAACAGAGCAAGAGTGTTTGAGGAGGCCAGAAAAACAAACTAAAGCTAAAAGCTGTGTGGAGCTGCAGAATGTGGTTGATAGGAGCATACGGTTAAATTAAACAGATTCAGTGTTAAAAGACCAAAGTCAATAGTACTTTAGTCTGCTGTCTACTCCTGTTGTAGACAGGCCTTAGGATAATCTTTATAAGTTCCTTAATACTTTTTTTTTGAAAAAGGAAGTTAAACTAAAAAAGATTAAGATTATCCTTATTCTTAAATCATCAACACAGAACAGAAAACAGGGCTTCCGTAGATGGATGTGTAAATAGGCAACTGTTTGCTAATATGATAGCCATATGAACTTTATAAGGACATTATGTGCCAATGATTTACAGCTTTATGCAGTGCCTGCAAGTGGCTGGAACATTTATTAAAATATTAAGTAATTAAGACAACAGCTGATTCCCTGTCTAAAAGGCCACAGTAATATATCTTTGTGTTTTTTATATTCACTGCCCTTTGTGGAGACTCTGAGAATCTCCATGTCCTCATGTGTTTTCAGAGAGTGACCTATGAGACAAAGAGGCCCACCCATGATCTGAGGACAATAGCGGAGGTGGAGGGCGGTGTGGTGAAGGCCGGCAAGGAGGTGGAGTGGAAGGAGCAGATCATTATCCCTCCTCTTCCTCAGTCGTCCCTCGTTGGCTGTGATCTTATAAAGATGGAATATTATGTCAAAGTAAGATGCTCCTCCTCTGTTACACTATCAGCACTGTTAGCTTATAAAGTCTTTTGATTGTTAGACAAACAGTTGGCCATTTGAGACATCTATCATTATGGCCACTTTTATTCATGTACCTCCCTCTGTAAATGTGATGGAAATTTTACATGTCGGTCTCATGTCTGAATAAGTGCCAGAAGCCCTCACGATAACAGATAGATGATAGTCAGTATGCATGGAAATGGCTTAAGTTTGACATTCTGCTGGCATAATGATCAAATAAACACAGTATTTGCTGGATGAAGTGATGATGTTCTCCTCCTCCAGCTCCTCATTAAATCACATCATTATTAATTCTAGTAGTCAACAGATAGGGGTTTTCAGTGGCTAAAGCCAATGTATAATGGCAATGTCAAAACAAACTAATATACATGCTTATCTTAGCCAGTAACAGTTCTTATTAATAATGAAACAGAAATCTACACTTATGCTGTATATTTCAGAATATGACTGGTATTTAAGTATAAATATAAATATATATATATATATATATATATATATTTAACGCAAACAAGTAACTGTTTTAGATTATATTTGCTGTCATGCAGAAAAAGACATAGAAAAGAAAATAGAAGTCTATCTGCCTTTACAAAGGTAAGGTTTACAAAATGCTATTAGTTTGACTTTGTGGCTGTTGGCTTGTGGTCAAATAATTTTATGAGCTGGCTTTAGCAACACCATGGGCTTAACGTCACACAGACCTTCATTAGTTGCAAACGTTCAGTTTACCATTCACCAAAAACATGAGCACATTCATTGAACAAGTTAACACTGTCAGCCGATTCCAATTATTCATACTCATTATCTATGTACTTGTGTCCTCTAGAAAGCAATGAAACTCCATTAGGTTGGCTATATATTCTGTATTCCTCCAGGAAATGTAACTTACATTTTCTTTTCCTCTGATTAATCAGGTCAGTCTGAAGTCTCCAGACGTCATGTTGACGTTACCCATCCACATCGGGAATGTCTCTCTAGACAAAAAACGGCACCCTTCCAAAAGAGCAGCTCCTCCTTCCTCTGCTGAAGACACTCTGGCCTCTGCCTCTACTCCCGACACTTCCACCTCTGCCTCCACCCCCGACACTTCCACCTCTGCCTCCACCCCCAACACATCCACCTCCACTTCTGCCACCACGCCCACGCTGCCACCTCGTCGTGCCCCAAAACCTGCTCCCCGCCCTACTCCGCGCTCCAGGATGTCCTCCCATAACTCCCCCAGTGCTCCGCCAGCTGAGTACCACCAGGGGGCAGAGGGTGGGACTCCAGTTAATGACGGCTTCCCCAACAAGCGCCAGTCCCAGTTGGTATCACCCAACGCTTTCAGCTATGCCCCTGGCCTCTTTTTCTCCCAGAACCAGCACCACGGCGGGCCCGGCACTGCACCTGGCGAGCCTGCGTTAGGTGGGTCCATGGGGGCCACAGCACCTTATGCCCCTGGGGGTGCTACCTCGATGCCTTCACTACTCATTCTGCCTCCAGACTACGGCACCTCAGCATATCCACACGGTCAGTTGGCACGCGCTCACTCTCTACTGTACCAACCTGGCTCTGGTCATGAATGTAGACTGGAATGTAGAGAAGAAGGCTGTAATTTCAACACATACTCATCAACTTTAAAGGTTATATATACGAAATTCACTTACCACTAGATGTCACACTAGAGCACCAGGATTTTGTTTGTTATTCTTTCCAACAATCACCAACTGTGATTTGGTCAAAATAAACCATTAATTCACCGAGTTATATGTGAACATTTTCTTGAAAAGGGCAATCATGGCGCCCAGTTAGCTCAGTGGGTAGAGCTGGCGTCCCATGT